AACCCTTCACTCTTGTTTGGCAAGTTAGAATTGGACAAAGGGAGAGTTCGACCAAAACAATAGCCAACAATTACATTCCTCCCTTTGTCTGTAGGTATATTTTATTCATGTTTTATCTATTTTTTTATTTTTATTTTTAAATCTTTTCTTAAATTTTCCAACCAAACACAGTATAACAGTTTAAGGTTAACTCCTTTGGACCTTCTCTTTTCATAAATGATGTTAGGGAGAGTAATTTTAGTAAGTTGGGTGGTTGGATGTGGTGGTTGATGGCTCCGGGTGGGTGGCGGAAGGAAGGAGGAGAAGATAAAAAATAATAATAATAATAATAATAATAATAATAATAAATTACTTCTTTTAAAAATGTGAATATTTCTAAAATATTGAAAATTGTTTTTATTATTCAAAAACGAAATCACTTCCCAAAAGTATTTTTCATTCCATTTTCCAAAATTTTTAAAAATAAAAACATTACCTGACACTTTTAAATATCGTTGATAATATTTACAGTTTATTATTTTTTTCCTTTATAGAAAACATTTTTGGATTCATTGTGGTACATTTTAGATATTTTTATGAAATGGGTTGATTTGCAAATGATTTTTGTGAAAGTATATATGCCCCCACACAAATAAAAAGGAATCAAAACAAAAACAAAAACGAGAGAGAGAGAGAGAGAGAGAGAGAGAGAGAGAGAGAGAGAATCTAGGTTAGGTTTCCACGGAAGTGAAAAACATCACTACAATTTTTAATGTTGGTAGATTTTTCCATGGAAACACTAAAATCTAGAGGGTAGGAGGAATGATAAGTAGGGGACTGCAAAGACCATGTGAGAGAGGAGGAGAGAGAGCATTTGCAGAGCTTTGCAGAGAGAAAGAGAGCATATAATGCAAAGAGGGCAATAAAGGGTTAGACAAGCACTTAATGAGACCCTCAGCCCCACAAATTATATATTGGGCCTGATTTTCTCTAGTCTCAGATTGGATTAGAAAGCATTACTAGGCTTGTAGGAATTCATTACGGATCTTGTTTTGATAATTCGAATCGTTCAATATATAGAACTCGTCGAGTACTATATGTTTGTTAAAAATCACGTTGATCGGATATTGATAGTTACGTGATTAAATTAATTTTGTATTACAAAAAATGGACAGTTTAAAAATAAACGGTTGACAGAAAAATTAAACCGATGAGATAGCTATCGATATTCGATCAATGTGATTTTTTACAAAGATATAGTACTCGACGAGTTCTACACATTAAACGGTTTTGATTATCAAAACGAGACCAACAACACCCTCTAATCTGATATGAGACGGGAGAGAAGCCACTGCCATCTTGTTTCGGCTCATTTGGTGCTCATGTGGTGTACTTGCTCTACATATGTGCCCAATATGCGTTCCCTCTACAAAACTATAGGGAACCCCAAAAACAAAAAGGATCCAATGTGTGTTCGATTAAGCTTGGGATAGGGCTCCAATGACTTCTTCAATACACCTTATTGCAAGCTGAAAGTTAGTAATTAAAAAGTAAAAAATAAATGTACTATTTTCCCTACTTTTGAATAATTAATTATTTTTAATTTATTTATTGTATTTCTGTATCAAAAGTTATAAACAAAAGATGTACAAAATACTCTAATATAGATTTTTTAACCACAGAAATCTTTCTAACGTCTAGCCTGCCTTAGTTTTACTAGCTTTTAATTTTACTTTTGATTTTAAAAAAAAAATCCACACTAAATCCCATAAACAAAAAAAAAATGGAAAAAAAAAAAAAAAAAAAAAAAAAGAGAGAGTAAAATATAGAATTAATTTTTAAAAAGGGGGAAAAAATAGCTATGAAAATGTTAAAATTTGATTAAAAATGATCCAAACAAGCCCTTAGAGTTTATATTTGATTATTATTATTATTATTATTTTATTGTTTCGCTTAATTGCTTTAAATATGTGATCCGATCTTTCATTTGTGTATGAATTTATGAAGAAAAACTAAGAGGGAGGAGCTTTTTTTTATACAAATAATTACAATCAACCCAAACCCTGTGTATTGTTCAACAATATTTTAACTTTCACTGAATTTGGGTAGGAAAGCCATTTTTTATGGGTGCTTTCCCTCCAATAATCACCATTCACGTTTCTTTTGCATGCTAAGGGAGAAAAAATAAATGAAAAAAAAAATGTAAAAAGTAAACAAATATATATAAGGAGAATGTTTCGGACCCCCAAGTGGGGGTGCTGAGTCGGCTGTAATCGGCCCAAAAATTATTATTATTTTTTTTTTTTCAACCAGTGAGAGACTGACACATCACTGGGGTGCCACTGAGGATCGGAAGCATTGTTGTATATATAAAGATGGGAAGGACAAAACCACAAGGGTTTCATCATATGGGTTAGCCTTTTAAGAAGGGCAACAATTATGAGCCTTATAAATGAAGGGTTACTTACTCGGAGAAATAATTAACTCAAAAAAATCAGCTGTTTATAAGGCTTGTTTGGGGTAGCTTTCTCACCCAATTGCTGTTAAAGTAGGCCCCATATGATAAATCCACAAGCACTCCTTATTAGTTGACCATATTAGACATGCATCAAGATGTTGATATTTTTTACTTTTGATAATTCAGTATTCCATCCACTAAATCAATTAATTTAAAAGACTAATTTCACCGTCTATTAGCGAGTGAGCTCAATTTAAATTAGGACAATGTTTGGTATGGACCGGCCATTCAAAATTTATTTTGATTCAATCCATTTGTAATCTTATGTTTAGGAAAGACTTGGTTTGATTGAAATTTATCAAGTGGATTGCACAGTATAGTTCAGTCTGTGGAGTTGATTATGGATTTTATTACGCAGATTTATACCATTAGTTCTATTTTTCCTGATCCATAGATTATCGCAGAATAAAATAATGTCCATAAAGAAAAAGAAAAAAAAGGCAAAGAAAGGAGGCACATATCCATAGAAAATGAAAAGGGTCATGAGGGCAGTTTGGTAATTTGACATCTGGACAAGGACTGTAAGTAATTTAATAATGCTACCTAAAGAGTAACAGTAAATGATCTAATTTATTGTACCATTCAATTTTGTGGGGAAAATCTACTGTGGAGAAAATCAGACGACTATGGTCAGAGATTTTAAATATTTTATTAAATATTTTATATGCATATGAAATTCATACATTTATATAAAATTTTGATAAAATATATGCTGTCGCTAATTTTTTCAAATTTGACAAATGGTTCATTAACATTTAATTAATAAATATTTCAATAATCAATAAACTATATTACACTTAATATTTATTTTATTTTATTCATTCACACACTCAAACCAAAAGTTTCATTCAAATATACAAATAATAATGTTATATAACTAACAAAATTATAAAGTCTAAACAATAATTTAATAATTATTTATTTTAAATCAAATGAGTCTCTAAAATGAATTATTAATTTAAAAATATCACTATTACATTATTGTAATTAATTTTTTATGTATAAAGTTACTGTTTACAAATTATTTAAGTTTTGTTTGCTAATGTTTTTATTTTTTTATGAACTAAAATTTAAATAAATATATATTTGATATATATATTTGTTTTAAAAAGTATGACATCGATTTTGAAATTTAAAAAAAAAATTGAGAATGAAAAAATAATTTCACTTATTTTCAAAATAACTTTTACTATCTCTTCTCTCTTACCACTTCTGGCCACCTGCTACTACCAGTCTCTAGGAACCGATAAGGACCCTCCAAGTAAGAAACAATAATCGATTGTAAGAAGTAGTAACCAATTGTGACTTCCAGCAATAGGGGTAATAAACAGAACCAAATGAGCCGAACAATTAATTTTTCAATGTTGATTTGATAACTTTAATAAGTTTCAAAATTTGTTTAAATTTGGTTTGTTAAATTTTCGAGTCTATCTCAAACGAGTTTTTATCGAGTTGAACTTAAGTAGTTTAATATTTTATATAAATTTAGACTTATTGAACTGAGCCGAACGAATAATTAATTGTTCAAACTTAGTTTATAAACTTTAACAAATTTTAAAATGTGTTTCAATTTGATTTATTTATTTAACGAATCGAACTCGAACGAGTTTTTAACAAGACAAACATAAGAAGTTTTTAACAAGACGAATATAAGTCAAACTCAAATTGTTTGATTTATTTATCATCCCTAACCAACAACACTCCCCGACTATGGGAAGCAAGGATATTACTGTATGCTGTGCTTTTTGTGGGAGATCGTTTCGAGTGTTTTTTGATGATCTGAACTGTTCGTATTTTAGAATTCGTTGAGAATATTATTCATGTAACAAATCAAATTAATTGGATATTCATAATCCCATGATTAGGTTCTAATTATTTTTAAAAATTTATGAAAGTTATGTTAACTGTTAATTTTTATAAAAATAAGCGTGTATTGGTTATAGGGTTATAAATATCCAATCAATTTGATCTTTTGTAAAGATGATCTACTCAACAAACTCTACAATATGAACAATTCAGATCATTAAAAAACACTCAAAATAACCTCTTACAAAGAACACAATAATTAGGCACAACAGTGTTTCCGTTTCCCGACTATGAACTCAGGTAGCTACCATCGGTCAACCTATGCCTCTTCACCGCATCCGCACCGTACATATATATATATATATTTTATATCGTTTTTTGTAAAATTATTTATTTATACCAAATAAAATTTTCATTTTTGTTATTTAACAATAAAAAAAAAGAAAAAAAAGCCCAAACCCAAATTCAAAACCAACACAATTCTAAAGCCCAGCCAAGGCCCAAATGGCTTATACGGCGTTGTATATATAACTTATTAAAATTATTTAGTTTGAGATGTTTTAAAAAAAGTGTACTTTTTAATTTATTGATTTATATGAATTTAGTTTGAATTAAATTTGATGTGATATATTAAAGAATTGATGTAATTTAAATAAGATGATGTAATTTAATAACTTTTTATATTATTAGTAGATGCCAACCAAAGAGTTTGCTCACCTTCTTTCTTTCTCTGTCTCTCTTCTCAAACTCTGAAATAGAGGAAGCAGATACACCAGAGAAGTTTAATGTCCACCCACCGCCTCTGAAACGTCTCTCTCTCACTCAATCTCTCTCACACACACTGAGAGACTGAACATTGTTGTTGTAATCTTTAACTTTCTTTGCTCAGTGCTCATACCCATTTTGTTCTCTCTCTCTCTCTCTGTTTGGAAAAAGGGCCAGAAGAGACAACAGAGAAGAAGAAAGGAACCTCTTGTGGAGTTTTCTTGAATGTTATTTATCTTCTCAGTCACTTTTTAGCTGCTTTTGTTTCTCTCAGATCTACCTCCAACCCAACCCCCCTTCTCTTTCCATTGTTGTACCGCTTGGTTGCTCTGTTTTAGTACAAAGACATGAGTAAAGAAGAGTTTTTGAAGATCCAGGTACACTCATTTCTCCTCTCTCTCTCTCTCTCTCTATATATATATCTTCATATATAGCTGTATGTATAGGAACTCAGTGTGATGATGTGTTTGTTGTTTTCTTGAAATGCTTTGTTTGTTCTGAACTCAAGATTTGAGATGGAATGCTCTTTCTTTCTTTCTTCACTATCACTATATATTTACAATTAGTTTCACTTGTATGCAGGTCTTTTCTTGACAAAGCTAGAAATTTTCTTTTTCTTTTTCTTTTTCTTTTTCTTTTCCTTTTCCTTGATTTGAATGACATTTTCTTTACTCTGTTTTTGGTTCCATGATTTCACTTTGTGCATGCAGACTTGTGTTCTGAAAGTGAACATACACTGTGACGGTTGTAAGCTCAAAGTCAGGAAAATCTTGCAGAAAATTGATGGTAATTTTCCATTTCAAAACCCCCTTTTTAAATTTATTTTGTAGATTCATATGCCCAAATTCATTTTCTTTGTGGATTTTTCCCCCCCTCAATTTCTTGAAATTTCCTTTTTATTTTTTCATTTTTTTAGGGGTTTACAAAACCCATATAGACTCAGACCTTGGCAAGGTCACTGTGTCGGGAAATGTAGACCCAAACACGCTGATCAAGAAGCTAAGCAAGAGCGGCAAACATGCTGAGCTTTGGGGTGCTCCAAAGGCCAATAACCAGAAGAACATGCAAATTGACAATGGCAAAGGTGGGTCCCAGAAGGGTCAGAAGGGGGGTGGTGGTGGTGGTGGCCAGAACCACCAGCAACCCAAGGGGGGCGGTGGTGGTGGTGGTGGCCAGAACCACCAGCAGCAGCTGCAGCAAATGAAGGCTATTCAAGATCTGAAGTTGCCCCAATTCAAGGGCTTGAAACTGCCCTTCACTAATAATACCAAGGACCAGAATCAACATAAGGCTGTGAAGTTCAACTTGCCTGAAGATGATGATCTGATGAGTGATGATGAATTTGATGATGAGTTTGATGATGATTATGATGACGACGACTTTGATGATGATGATGATTTGGATGATGAGATGATGAATGGTGCACCCCATCATCCTCTTAACAAGATGAAACCACAACCCATGATGATGGCTAATGGTCAGCAGATGCCTAACATGATGATGATGATGAATGGCCAGCAGCATCCACAGCTTATGAATGCTCTGGCTCAGGCCAAGAGTGGTGGCGGCGGTGGTGGAAATGGAGGAAATGGGAAAAAGGGTGGTGGTGGTGGTGGAAATATACCTGTTCAGGTGAATGATGGAAAGAATGGAAAGAAAGGTGGTGGTGGTGGGAATCAAAATCAAGGTGGTGGTGGTGGTGGTGGTGGTGTTCAAGGTATGCCCAATGGTGGTGGTGGTGGTGGTGGTGGTGGTGCTGCTGCTGCTGCTGCTGCTGGTGGTCAAGGCATGCCCAGTGGGTACCATGCCATGGGTGGGGCTAATGTGGGCCAGATGGGGGGTAATATGCCCATGGGCCAGATGGGCCAAATGCCAGCTGTCCAAGGCCTTCCGGCCTCTGCGATGAATCCCGCTGGGGGCGGTGGATACTTCAATGGAGCAGCAGCCCGACCGGAGATGATGGCCGGGAACCAACAATACTACCAGCAGCAATTGGCGGCGATGATGATGAACCAACAACGTGCGAATGGAAATGAGAGGTTTCAACCAATGATGTACTCTCGACCACCTCCGGCCGTCAATTACATGCCGCCATACCCATACCCATACCCATATCAGTACCCACCTCCAGCCGACCAATACACCCATGCTTTCAGTGATGAGAACACCTCAAGTTGCAGTATAATGTGAATTTACCAGGATATGTGGTGGTGAATGTGCCGGTGGTTGAGCTTGGTGATTCAGTTACATTCTTGAGGTTCTTAGAAGACTTGATGCCATATAATACATGGAAAATGGGTTTTATTTTAGTTGTTAGTTTTCTCCTTTACCGCCCCTTGAATTTCCTTTTTTTTTTTTTTATTATTTATAAGCTAAAGCTTAAATTAGGGTTTTTAATTATGATAGGAAGTATCTAATAGATAATATTTTAAAGTCTTGGGGGAGAGGAGTATGAGATGTATGGTTGTGAGCTTTCCATGAGATGTCTATATGTGTTTATATGTTGGAAACAAAAATAAGTTGAAAGAAATGAGAATTTGGGTTTTAGCAAAAGCTCATATCTCTCTCTCTCTCTCTCTCTCAATAATGCCTATATAAATTATTGACTTTTATTATTATTTTTTTACTAATGTGTTACTATCATATTATTAAAGTGATTTTGTTTCAAATATTTAAGTTTTATCATTACAAGACATGAGTTGATAAAAAAAAAAAAAAAAAAGGTTGTAAAACTTGTTTGTCAATTAAAGTATTATTATATTATTTTTTAATTTTTTTATACTTTTTTATAAAAAGTTCAAAAAATATTAACAAAATCTGTTTTCAATTAAGGTCTTTTAATTCGTATTATAATTGGGTTAGGGGTTCTCTTACAATGACATGGTATAGTGTTGACATTGAATTGTAGGGCTAAAAGGTTTGCGTTTTTCAACTATTTCGATCATTGGTTATGTTTTTCAAATCACCCTCAAAATATGGCTCTCCACATGATTTACAATCCAGCTACAAGCCTCGAAACAACTCTACCTCGAATGGCTCGAACCCCTCTAGTCTGAATCCTCTGTAGTCATTGCCTATGGTGCTTCATACTCGTTTTGGGACAAACTCACAAAAATGAAGGGTGTGTTTGGTATGGCTTTGTAGAGTGACCCATCTTTTCTTTTCTTTATGAAGGGTATATCCAGAAAACTACCTCTTTTATTTTCTTTATTCTTCTTTTCTTTATTCTTCTTTTCCAAACAAAAACAAAGGAAGATGACCCATCTCTAGCCTTAACTGCCCCTTGGCAACCCCTTCTTGTTACCCACCGCCATCGCCGCCTACCTACACATCTCTCTCTCTTTCTCCTTTGCCATTGGAGCTCTGATCCAGCCCCCCTCCGTCCTCTCTCTCTGCGACTTTCTTTCTTCTCATTTTTTTCTCCCTCTCTACACATACATACATGTATATATGTAAGCAAATTCATGTGTCTAAAAGTGAAAATTTTACAAAGCAGAAACTCTTCAAGTTTGATATTTTATTTAATTTTTCTTCAGTATTTTTATTGAATGAATCACAAAATTGAAATTTTTTTATTTTTGATTAATTTTTCTTCAATATTTTGAGGAGTGAATCACAAAATTGAGCATATTCATGGCTATTTCAATTCAAGCCTTAGGATTAGAAGAGACTTGAGAGAGAGATTTGTGTCGAACAATAGGCCGAGCTAAACCAACGCAAAATGTGGTGTTGAGCCGAGTCAAACCAGCACGAAACATGGTGTTGGGCTGAGCCAAACCAGCACAAAATGTGGTGTTGGACCGAGTTAACCAACATGGAAATGGCGTTGAGTCGAGCTAAACCTTTGCGGTCTTAGGCGTCATGCTGAAAAAGGCCATGTCTTAGCTATGAGAATAGGCCGAACTAGGTGTGGCGTGGGCCGGATACGAGGATCGAGCAAGATGTGTAAGGGGTCACAGTCTATAGCTGAAATGACGACCAACATGCCGAAACCAACTAGTCTAAGAGTGCAACACAGTTGAGGCATTGATTAAGCACGAAGCTGACTTGGGAGCCGGCGTGATTCAGCTCGGCACGAAGACATCCTAAGCCATCATTCTGTTAGTGCTACAAGTGATCGTTCGGTTCAGGCATTCCACGTGGTCCAATGGTAGAAGAAGAGGAATCCGTTCTGAGCATGCGTCAATACCATTTGGCGGTTTAGCCAATATTGTTTGGTAGTATTAATGCGTACACATGTGAAGAATGGAGAGGACAATATAGCCACGCGTCCAACAAAAGACGCCAGAAGTAGTGGGGCTGCATGACCAACCTAGATAAAAGGCGCGACCAGACTCTAGATATGTAAGAAAACTTTAACTCTCTCTCTCTCTCTCTACAGTGTTCTACCTTCTCTCTTCTCCAAGAAAGCTAACTTGGCAGTTAGAGAAGTTTTCCAGTAACCCACCCTCTGGGTAGCTCACCTTTGTGTTGTTTGCTATTAGATGGAGTTTTATCGGAGCAAGTCAAGCTTGGTAGCAAGGAGTACGGAAAGTGACAAATATTTTCCACACGTACAAGACCCAACCCGTTTCTTTCTCTCTCTATAACTAGCCAAGGATGAAGCAGAACATATTGGATTTCATGGCGAGCTAGTTTGCACCCACTACTCTCTTCTACGTCTTCAACCTTATGATCAGCATTATCTTCATCATCTCTAACCTCAAATCCCATCACCATGAACCACTGCCATCGCCATCACTAGATGACGAACACAACCACCACCATCTCTGCTTTGAGCTTCGTTTATTTTAAAACAAGTCACGTCCTTCAATTTCTCTTTCTATAGCTCCGAACAATAACCCGACAATGACCCATTACACTTCTCGACCCTCCACCTTGACCCACATCAACAACCCAACAACCACCAACCACCTCAACTGGTTCGAGCTCTATCTTTCCTCGAACAAGTCAAGTCCTTCAATCTCTCTCTCTTTCTCTCTCTCTCTCTCTCTATAGATCCGAACAACCTGACAGCGAGAGGACGAGAGGGATGAGAGAGAGCGAGAGGATGGAAGGGATGAGAGAAGAGAGATCTTGTGCTGCTTAGGTTTGAGGAGAGAGAAACAAGCCACGTGAATGGTTGAAAAGAGAGAAAGATTCGAGGCATTCGAGCCTTGAAGTGTCGAGGCACCAAGCATTTTTCCATGATTTAATGAATGAAAGTGTTTTAGAATCGAAGGATAGAAATTTGAAGACATAATTTTTAGTCAAATTCTATTGTAAGATTTTTTGTCTTCATATTTCTTTATCCTTCTATCTAAAATTTATGAACAGAAGAATAAAAAATTTTAAGGATAGAATAATTTGAGAAGAGATAATCTTCTGACTCTACAATTAAATGGAGTTGTTTGGTGTTTGATTATATGAGATTTTTATAATTTTTTATTTTGAAACTTTGTGTCATTGTTTAGTAGAGCTTTTAATTATAGTTTATTAAATAAAAATCATTAAGTAAAAAAATTAATTAATTAAAAATTAAAGTAGTGCTGCATTCGATTAATATTTTTCTGGTGGTGTTACATGTACCAATTAGAAGTAGGTTGGCTTTTTGGCTGTTTTGGCTATTTTAGCCTGGGCTAAAAAGTTTGGTTTGAGAATGACTTTTTAGCTTTTTTTATGAGAGAAAGGCGTAATGATTATGTGTTGAATGTGATGTTTTGTTTATTGTGCCTAAAATAGTCTATTTTGTCTTTTGTGGTTAAAATAGCCACAAAAGCCCTTGCCAAACGGAGCCTTACTATATCAACTAATGTACCAATACTAATAACGACATTGTTATTAATCTCACTCACTATACAAATTATAAATACTAAAAACTTATTAAATTATAGGGATAATTAGTCTAAGGTCCCTCTCCCACTTTTCGTAATGGAAGAGATCCACAAAATTATTTTTTGATGTCTAAGGTCCCTAAACATGTACTAGAGAAATTTGACTCTTTGTCTCTCCTCTCTTTCTTTCCTCTCTGCTCCTTCACCCTCCTCTCCACCCTCCTTTACGACCTCACCTTCTCCTCCGACTCCTCCCTCCGCTCTGCCACCGTTGCAGACCTCCGCGCGCGCCCGGATCCGCGACCCGGCCTGCCTCTCTGTAAATTTCTGATTGAACAGCTGAACGCAGAGTTTACCCGCGACACCTTCGATGGGCATACAGACTGTCACAGCTCAATGGACATTATTTATTTACTGTATTGGCTTCCGCCAGGCCCTGTACTCTGTTTTACTGTATTACTGTTCTGCAGGCCTTCGGTAATCTCGGATTACTGGCCGGTTACGGTGCTAAACCCATAGGGCCGGGTTTGGGTCGTGACAGCCCCGTTCCAGTCGGCCACACCAGCGTCTTCATCGCCGTCTCTGCTGTTCATCGTGCTGAAGCTTCAATGAAGAAGATTCGGCTGCCAAGGCCAGAGCGTGGGCAGCAGCCAAAGTTGCAACAAATGATTAGCATTCACAGTCACAGTATACACCAGTTGGCAGACCGGAAGAACAGAGTCATTATCATGATCAGTATACACAAACTGCTGATCCTCATTATCCTGATGTGGCTAAACCGTCACTTCATGCAATGAGCTATCAACAGTATCCACCTCCAGCTGCACCCCTACACAGGCCACCCATGGTTCATCTGCAGGAGTCTGTATCTATCAATTCTGGGCAATCTTCTTTTGTTCCAAATGAGCATTTAGCTCACAGTGCTAGAGATGGAAATTTGGCAGGAGATTCAAATGATGTATTTCCTCATCAAGAAAGTCCATCTACAAGTTCATCGGTTCATCTGCAAGAGGTACCTTTTAGTTAACTGAATTGATTGCTGAGCTGAATTTCTCTGGGTTGAAACCAGAGAAATTCTCTGATTTTTTAACTGAATTTTCTCTGAGTTGGTCCAGAGAAATTCTTTGGTTTCGAGCTGGAACCTGGAATGCTTAATTTGTATAAATCCCATTGCATTTTTCCTCCTCTGTATTTATTTTCTTGATGTATACAAAGTTGCCCATGATGTTAAAGCAGAGAAATTTGTCTCCATCTCTAGCATCCCAATCACAGAAATTGAAATTTCTCTGAATTGAAGAGGAAGAATTTCTCTGGGTTAAGTGAATTTCTCTGGATTGAAAATGAGAATTTCTCTAGTTTTCACTGAATTTCTCTGAGTTAGAGAGGGAAATTTCTCTGGATTGAAGTAAATTTCTCTGGAAAGTGTAGAAAAATGTGAGATTTTCTCTGTGCAGTCCAGAATTTCTCTGGAAAAAATTTCTCTGGGTTGAAATTTCTCTGGACTAGAATTTTTCTAGGCTGAAATTTTTCTAGACTGAAATTTCTCTGGATCA